ATGGCATTCATGGGTTGTTGAAATTAAGACATTCTGGGTTTTTTCCCTTTATACGGCATTCATGGTTTGCTGAAATTTAGACATTCTGTTTTTTATCCTTCGATCGGAATGCGTGAATTGTTGACATTTAAGCATTTTGTTGTTCTTCTTCCATTGATCGGCATGGGTGAATTGTTGACATTTAATTTATTTTCCCTTTGTACGGCATTCGTGAGTTTTTGACTTTTAGATATTCTGTTTTCTTCCCTTTTTGCGGCATTCATGGGTTGTTGAAATTTAGACATTCTGTTTTTTCCTTTTGGTCGGCATGCGTGAATTGTTGACATTTTGGTATTTTGTTGGGTTTTTCCTTCGTACGGCATTGGTGAAATCTTGACACTAAGATATTCTGTTGTCGTCCTTTTTGTGGCATTCATTGTTTGTTAAAATGTAGACAATCTGTTTTTTCCCTATGATCGGCATTCGTGAGTTGTTGACATTTACATATTCTGTTTTCCCCTTTTACGGTATTGCGGTTGAAATTTCGGCATTCTGGTTTTCCTTTGGTCAGCATGCGTTAGTTAAGGGGAGATGAGTTTACAAATATTACATTGATAACTCGTTATTGTGGCTCCATCGTACGCGATCACGGACACAATATAATCAATGAAAATCCGATCCTTGATAAAAAGAATGAACCATTTGTCTGTGGCTTGATAGGCTATTCTTTGATGATACAATGCGTTTTGTTTGTATACTTCTGTTCGATCTAGATTTTCTAGGCCATCTGCTCAAACAAAACAAATATTTGGGTTTTCAATATTATCCAATTAAACCACACTATGTCGAGGAAATTTGATTTGGCGGTAAATTGTTTGATCTGTACGACCCTTCTATATAGATAATTCCCAGATGATATAGTGGAAATCCTTTGAGTGGATCAAAGTAACATTGAACCAATTAGTAACTCAATATCTAACGTAATGATTTGTTTCTTTCATAAATGGAACTCTATTCGATTCAATGATCAATTATACATGAACTCTACGTCAAACGAAGTTAATACAATAGCTGTATATCTCACGGTATCATCTAAAGCCATGGTCCTTTATCAATGAGTAAAGAAACATCTTGAATTAAAAAAATCGAAATAAAGTCATTAGGTTGAGAGAATGTGTGTCAGGATCAATTGATATGACAATGAATCGTCGTATCATATGATCACAGTATGTACCAAGAACAAGTGCAAGCTTTTTCATAATTAGTTAAATTTGGTTTCCTAGAACATACGACTTCGTTTAGAAAGACGTATATCGGCCTCTTATATTTTAAAACAGGGCATGGAAGTCGACGGATATGTATATTCAGAATTCCTTGCTTTTTCTCTCTATTTTTTCTAAGATCTGTTTCGTGGATACTGATGGCGTCGTTTTCGTATATTGGTCAGCCTATTCATGGACACAGCCGCTTCTCCCAGCAAACACTTAGTGTAACGTAGAGGTAAGTGTGACCACTACATACCATCATGTACGTTGCTACGTTTATTTGGTCAAAGCTTTCACTTAACAGCTTCCGTCTTGCTCTTCCAACTTGCCAGGGAACATCTCAGTTTGTTGATATATTATTGACCATTATGCTAAATCTATAATTGCAAGATTTCTTACAATATCTCTCGTACATAATGCTATTTGTCATACATACATCTAACAGGTTTGTTAATTCATGATATATTTAACAATATACACTTACTCGATGTTGCTCAATATTCTGTAATGAAGCATATTGTTTTGACTATTTGACTCTTAATATGCCGATTGTCCCATCTCTGAGCTGAGACGCCGAATTAATTTTTTGTTCTTTCACATGCCTAGATCACGAAAATATAAGCTCCCGTAAATAAGTCATTTTACGGTAAATGTATTACTATGCAAAAATATTGTAAAACCCTGCTGTGTTATAGTATTTTTGCAGTAAAGACATTCAAAAACGCTCAGTGTGAACTGCATGTGTCCTTCCGATTGTGTAATAATATCGTGTTGTTTAAAATACTGCATAAGTATACATCTGCATAAAGTTACACTTTTACATAGGTAAAATGGAAGAGTTCCTAAACAACATCGGTCTATGTAATGACCATTTTGGTGAAGTTAACGAAATAATCATACTCTTACATATCACATATATGCAAGGAACCGTCAGGTAAATCTGTCCAGTAGCAGAGGTAGATCTGTATAAATAAAATATCAATACATTGTATATTTAATTGTTTAATAGCCTAAAATGCGACTCATACATTTGATAAAAACCAAAATGAAAAACTGTCACGTTCTTAAAGCGAGAACCGAGGTAATGACACCAAAATAACAAGGCATACTTATGAATATAAAACTAAATGATCAATCTCCATCTCACAGAAAGACATAACACATTTGCGAATGATGTCATGATAGCGACCTTACAACAATCTTCATCTACCTACATCTCTTGAAACCTTGTGTGTTGTAAGTTTGACCGTCAGCAAGTTGGGGAAACAGTGACATAACTATTCAAAAAGGGGGAAAGATTGGCAAAAATCGAAATTGTTCTGCTTACCGTAGAGCTTAATAGTATGCTGTTCCTGTTATTAAGACTGAAATTGAGGAAAGCGGCTGATATAGCAGAGTCTATAATGTCAACGATTTCAAGTTCAGGAAGGCATTTAAGATCGACGTGGTCAATCAATTTCTCGTTATTTAAAGTAAGGTCATCGTCGATTTATCTGAATGTGAAATAGAAGGACATGACAAGGGTTCATTTACCAATCCTGGTTAGCTCTTCATAAGGTCGTAAGCATGTACGCATGTCATTACGAACAATTTATAAAGAAAATGGGTTTTGGATCATGAACAATTTACCACTTTCCTCAGTTCTAGCGATTGGTTCAAGAATAGCTACAATGTATCTACAAAGAATAAGTTGAGTATCATATGAATCTTGGATATGTATTGTACATTGTAACCCCACTTTATGTGCATGTGATCTTCGCGCAACATGACTTGGTAAAATATTGTGCTCACGAAATACTTTCGTATTTGGGTAATGGTATTTAATTTACCTGTGTTTGTTGATTTTTCTTGTAAATAAAGTAAAATCCGTTATTAAATGGTTGTGTTATCATCACTTTTCGGTTGTAAACGTGTTAACAGATTTATTTTGTGTCTAAATATATTTACACAGACAATTATATTTGTTAATTTTTGTTAGGTATTTTATTTCGCGCTATTTTTGGTGACCGCGAATATATATTGAATCATATTACTCCGCGAACATTACTTATTGAACAGAAAACAAGTAGGCTCGTTCTCAAGTTCTTTTCGTATTTGCCTTTATCTTATTCAAGGTAATGCTGTTATAATCTTAATTAAGTATACGAAACCATCTTACGATACAGACGGTAAGCTACAAATCGCCTTTCTTTGTCTGCATGTCAAAACAATTCTACCGTTGATCTGATTCAAAAACGAAATTGGCAACCATTATTTCATTTTGATTTAAGAGAAACCGCAAGGCAATATCTTTAAATTTGATAACAATGACACCAGTTTGACAATATAATGATGTAAAAACTAAAGGAAGACCAGTTCTAGACAACTATGTCATTGAATTTGAGTTACAAGCAAGACGGAGGGGGTATGACAGAGTTAAAAAATAAAAACTGAGGGTAAAAATTGCGAATCTTCCAATAGAATTGTCAAAAATATGAAAGTGGGGAAATGACCAGTCAGCCTCTATTATAACTGTCAAAACCTCTTCTATGAACAGTTGTTGGTAATATTGAATCATCTTCGTTGTGACAAAACCGTGGGTGTGTTAGTATGAGACTTTCATTAATACAATAGAATACTGTACATAATTATATTCATTATGATATAACGACGACCAAAGGACATGAAATAGCCACCTGTCGAGAATGTTTGCTTGAATAAATCGAATCTTATACCTTACATCAATTTGGTTAAATATGAAGACGAGCCATGAAATTCTTCACAGGAAACGGCAATCAAACATATTAATGAGTAATCGAGTAAATTAACACATGTGATTTCTACGTCCGTTTTACTATATTTACATTTACAAAAGATAAAGTTAGAATGCAATATTTAGAGAAGATAAGAGAAACTAAGAGACAAAGGTTTGTTATGGAAAGGACCATAGACACCAGGACAAGAACAGAGACGTACGTACGGACCGCTAAACGGACGGACAGACTTTCTCTTAACCGATAGACAACGGGGGAAAAACCCATAAACCATTTCAGGATTAAGAAAATAAATTAAAGCAAGGTCGTTTCTTTATATAGTACAGAGCCCATAGAGTGCCAACATAAACAGAATTTATGACCGAATAAAAAACCCAGGAGAAATATGTTTGAAAATTATCCTAATTTTAGATTTCGCGCGGCGGTTTTTTTCATGTTTATGTGAATAAAATACCATTTTGTGATGTTGAATGCCTGTTTCAAGAATTTATTTCTTGATAGCCATTGTTCCATCTTCGTGCAAATTAGCGAAACTAGCAATGTCATAAAAAAGTGAGGCTATATCGAGATAGCATCTCGCATGTATCAGACTATGTAGTTTTGGTAAGGCGTCCCTGATTTATAACCTCCCAAGACCTTAAGTTTTACATGATCACCGATATCTTCAGCATCAGAGATAATATATATCAGCAGTACTACTAGATAAGAAATTATGTTAATCATACCAGATCTGGCGAGTACTGACCAATCACAACGAGATCGATAAGAAAATCAAAGGCAGAAATTAGCAACTATCACGCCTTTGAATTGAGCGTAACCTTTTTTAATCACAAAAAGGTTGAAGTTATTGCCAGTCCGGACTGAAGAAATCTCCTCAGAGAGAGAGAGAGAGATTCAATATTACTTTGGCTCGTCCGCCGTACGCGTTTTGTGTTTACATTAGCTATATAGCAATGTTGCTGTCTTTCATCGCCTGCTTTTAAACAAGCTGAGCATACACGACGCCCTGCGGTAGTAGAACTAGCCTGTGATCCGCCGTGTAAGATTGTTCGCACATGTACTGGTCGTGTTTGTGTCGAGGGGAGATCGGCTCATTGTCGGCCGTGGTGGTACCCACTACAGTTATAATACGAAATACAACGCGGATTTACATAAAGTTAGTGGAAGTGATATGTCTACAGAAACATCAACGTATAGTGGAAAGTTTATATAAATACTCCGTAAAGTCGGTATAGAGGGTATAGGCCACCCTGGACGTGAGAGATAAGACATCGTATACGTGTTACACATGTACAACTAATCAACAGGTGAGACGAGATCCAGGTGAGATTCAAGGTGTAAACATTATAACAGAATGGTACAGTAAACAGTGTCAGCACAATGGAAGGTATTGTGACAGAGCTTTAACAGGGACACGGGAATTAAGCACTGCAGTCCTGTTACTGTTTCCACCGATTAACAACACGAGAAGTCGATCAGCTTTGAGGTTTGTGTTGTTCGTCCGGTAAATAGTTTAAATCAATGAAAGTTGCATTAGGGATTCGGTCTTGTATTAGAATATTGTATACCTGTGTGTTGTTTACCTTTTTCTTACATACCTGTGTTTTATGACAGGTGTGTTCGTGTGGTTAAGCCTTCATTTACATATATTTGTGTGGATGTGACACTTCTCGTGCCAAGATGAGCGGCTGCCCATTCAGAAACGCTATAGAAAACGCCAAAGCGGCACACCAATCCAAAAATAATAACAATAACATCGAACCCCCTTCCCTCCCGAACGGTAGTGCCAATGGAAGTCCGGACATTATCAAGACCACTACGGCTAGTACCCAGACTGGTCAGGGGAAACTTGGACATGCGATGTCCGACAACTTCCTCGGACAGATCCACCATCGGAAGGGGACTGCGTCCAGTGCGTCCCTTGGGAATGAAATGACAGGCTCCAGTTCGAGTCGGAAAACTAGCAATATGTCCACGTGCTCAATGGGATCAGATGAGACGGATGGAGAGAAGAAGCTCGACCTGGTGGGGCTGATTGAGTCCGTAGGGACCCTTCTACTACCCTCGGTAAGTTCCCCTTGGTGACCTATTTGTGCCAATAAATTTGTCTTTATCGGTTATTTTTTCCTGCACCGGAAATTCATACAGATGCAATATGTCTATATACAAGATTAAAAAGTTCCATTGTTTCAACTAAGATGATACAAGTATATGGACAATAGGTGCATAATAAGTTCAGTCTAGTGTAGTTTATACTGTTAACGATATAAAGTAACAACAGATTACATCTTATTTTGCCCATTGCAATAAACGGAAAGGATGCAAGGCCAGACGGGATTCGAACCCGGGATCCTCCAAACTTTAGACGGACGCTCCTAAATTAAACTTTCTCGAACCAGTCCAGTTCTTTGGGAAATAATATATCAACCAGACTTCTGGTATTTTAATCCTATGAAGCAATAAGACATGCGTCCATGCATGTTTTGCATGTAAATCTCTGCTCAGTTGATAGCACTGTACATGTGTGCTGAATGTTCATTTAGAAATAAACTATTCTGATAGTACGAAATATATAACTGACTGGTTTGCACGTCAGGTTTCATGGCAATATAAAAGAATGTACCATTCGCCACGAAAATCTATAAAACTGTGTCCCCCACCAGGACAACCCAAAGTACAAGATGTGGTTTTCCCCCTCAACGACAATACATAAATACTGTCCCTTATCACAGCATTGAATAGTGTTGTTTCTCCATTACAACAATCCAGATGACTGTGTCCTCCTCTAAGGCAGTCGAAAGGACTATTTACCCGCCATGATATATTTCAAAGTACCCCACCATAATAACCAACAGTTTGTGGCGACAATTAATAGGACTGTGTTCCTTACCTACAAAGGCCTACCAGAAATCACGATTATCATATTTTATACGACTTCCCCCCTTAAGTTACACTATATAGAACTGTGTTCCCTAAATCACAATCTATAAAACTGTATCCATCACAATAACAATCTGCTGTTACCTGCTGTATGTATCCTAGGAGGCGACTAATGTGGGCATCCCTGCCGAATCGGGGATTTTCTTTGGTGTCCTCTATTTTGGGACACAAAAGCGGACAAAATAAATCTGCTGAACCCATTGCAATATTTTGGATCTTTATCTTTTTACCTACTTCTAAATCCCTTTTATTTCCTAGCACCTTGCTTGGCAACACCTCACTTTTGGCCTTAATGTCCCCAGGCCGGGACATACTAAAGTCCTTAAAATGGTCGTTGTTATTCCCTGGAATGGCAACAACTGGTTCACCCGTTGTCAGTATAATGTGACCGGGCGGAATGCTGTGCTGGATGCCTTCGGTAGGCATTTCAGTGTGATAGCACTATAAAGTCGGCATCAGATCTGCGCCGAAAATAGCAGTGTTTGCAGACATGTCGACATTATATGGTACATACGATTATTACCTTATTTTACAGAGTGAACAATATATGGTTATGGGGAAGTATCGCGAGTAAAACGCCTTTCAGTCAATGCTGCATGAGTGAATCAGCGGAACAAATGGTATTCACCTGTATTATGTAATCGTAGTCGGTAAGAAATGGACGTTACGACGACAAAGATAATGACGCAATAATTTGTGACGTTATATTATATATATATCAAGAATAAATAATGAAACTATGTCCATTGTTCCTAGTAAAAGTAGCATAAAAAACTATTGGCGTATTTCTAATAAAAGCGTACAGACAATTAAGGCATTATGATGTATAAAACATACCTACAATAGCACATGTTGCTCGGAATGTGATTTAGCCCCAGTCCTGACTTACTAAGTATGTAAGATAATATTTCAAATCAACAATCGATACACGAGCGCTCGAGTGACACTCCAGTATGTTGACACATGTTTATGAATGGAACGTAAAAAAATCCAATTTTGATAGTGACAAATGGTATTTAAATATCCATATTGTGATCGTATTAGGTAATATAATTCATTTTCCATGGTACATATCGTCATACTACTGGATATTAACAAGAATACGATCGGATGTTTAAACTGCATCAATCAAGCGCTTGCAGTTTTGACCGTTTTATTTTCTACACACGACTTGTAATTTTGCAGTATCACCGTATTTTAGATATCGCGATAGTATGTTTATTTTAGGGCACTTGTGTTTAGCTTAATTTTTCTGAACACGAACTTCAAAGTACTTAAATCCTTGGGATATTCTTCATGGGGGTCTGTCATATTCCCGATATTATCTGCTCTCCATTTATTTTTGGTGAGATTTTCGGATAGCGCGTGAATCTGTTGTATTATTATAGATAAGCACGTGCGCACACTTGCAGTGCATCTAGACAACATTACCCAGATAGGTCGAGGACGTGTAAACACCTGGGTAACCATGATCACCCATTTTTTTGTGGCCACGCCCTTCTAGGTATAGACAGGCATTCCGTCATGTGACCTTTTCTATCCCCTCTATGGCTACACCCTTGTCCCTATTATCACCACCACCCTCTATGATATTAACTCATTCACCCCTGAAGACACATTTGAACCCTTCCAAATCAAAGGTTGGAATAGTTCATTATAAAATTCCAGGGGTGAATGAGTTAAGCGTCGTCTTTACCACCTCTTTTATGATTCCCTTCCTCTCCGCGAGACCACGCCCAGCTGATTTATGTGATGACCCCGGAATTAATTCCTTACCGGCATTGACCTGTCCATTCCAGCTGTCACTACACCCTTCATTCATATTTTGATTTAAACATGTTTTATTTGCATCAAATACACAATTTGATTAGGGCACAAGTTATTCAACTTATATCAAGCCTTTCACAGCATCATTTTACTATAAATCTTTTTCAATTAATAACAAAGCCCCTTCCTGTGTGACAAAGTCGTTCCCCTTCTTCGAATTAAAAATCACACTGTTTTAAATTGTCAGGATGGTTGACTCTTTGAAAATTAGTTTCAAACACTTTTTTGACGTAACGAACTGTGTCAGTTCATTTATTGATGGCAAGAATGTGTTGTTTTTGTGCATTTATGGATATTTCTAAATACTGGAATATTTTAATTACCTATAGGAAGGTGCCGAAATTGTCTTCAATTAATCTTTTGAAGGCAGTGTAAATTATTAATAGATCAAATACTTGAATTGAGATCACTTAACTATTTTAATCATCCATGTGTTATGTCTGATTTCACACACATGCATCAATATGTTTAACGCTTGAGTTCTAGACACGTGATTATGAGCTGGTTGCCCTTTTTACTCCGTCGGTCCCTCTCGAGACTAATGACACACTTTAACTCGTCAAACGCATACGCCGTCGTAAATAAGTGCAATATAAATCCATGTTCACACCCCGTTATCAGATAGTCTGTATCAATGAGGCGCTTTCCTTCCAACCACGGAACTTTGACCAGCTTTCTACAACGTATAATTGAAAAGGTTGTACGCCAATACAATAGCCAGCGTAACGAGGTATGAGGGATATATAGACGGTCACCAACGGTTTCGTCCTAACAACAGATAGAATGTCTGCCACCGGTGAGGTATCAGTACGATTGTACCGACCCGGTGTGAACGCAGACCAATATACCGAACGCTTTATTGCCGCCATTATTGTAAATGGATGAACTGTTAACAGATAGACTGTCAAACGTTGATATTTAGATTTTATTTCATTGTTGTCGTATACCATGTTTAATAATAATGCAGTTGATATGCTGATTTCCCGTGTCGACTGTGTACGGGTTTTTTTGGGGGTTTTTTCAATTTTCTTTTTATGTTTCCTGTGGTTTTGTTTAGTAGAGGTCTTATTAGAAATAGAACACAATTTTCGGTATAATTGTTTTGGTTGTCATTTACCATAGGATTTAACACATAGTACATGTAGCTTTCCAACGAGAAGTCAAATTATTCCGCTGAGGTCAAGCGATTCTCGGTCGGGTTTTCAGTTCCGGTATTTTACGGACAGTGAGACTGGTCATCAAATATCAATATACAACCCGTTATCAGTCACATCGTACTCGGCATAGATCCTAACGAGAAATGTTCGAGAGTTTCGTTGTACGATAGTAACGATACGGCCACACAACACAAATTCCTGATCTCCGAAACCCGCCATCGTCCCTGACGTTAGGTTGCCACTTTGGTCTCGAGTAGCGCCAACAGCCCGCTTTAAAACACTCGACATTAGATGGTACTCGTGATAAAACGACCGATTTAAACAGTAGCTAGCAGCGGGAAAGTGTTTGGGCGAGATGATATATTAATATAGTATATTTGGGAATGCAACTCTATCCCCTTTGATGTTCTAGAAGTGCATGACACAGTTCGTAAAGTTAAGATAATTTACATGATTTTGATCTTGCAAGAGTAAACGTAAATGTAGAAAGCATCTGTCGATTCAGCTATACGAGATATTAATGAGGGGAAATATTAGAGACTCGACAAAGCGTTTTACACTCACACATAAATCAGTGTTAAACCGTTCAGAGTTCCCCTCCTGCATAGGGGACAGACAGAAAGTAAAGAAATGACATAACCAGTATTTAGTATGCATATGGTTTAAACATCAAAACATTACACACCGTTTGCAAAAAGTTGTCGATATTTCAATATTGTTTTTAGTTATACACGAACTTTTCATTATAAATCCATCATTAGGCAAAAACATAAATCTTCTTCTTGTTTTTTCCCCCTCATTACTTAGATACAAAATTACAAAACATATTGATGTTTAATTGTTCTGTGCCAAACACATGATAACGATACATCAGACGCGAGATGACGGCCTTCTGTCTACAACAACAGACGGGAACCTAACAATGTGCTATATGAAGAAGGTCGTGCATAACACTACCGTCAACTTTCCCCTTATAGACAATGGCAGAGGAAAGCACACCAACGTTAAATTCAAATAAAAACCAGCAAGGTTTTATTTTATAGTTTTCGAATTCACGCACCAAATGTCAAAAGGTGACCTGCTCTGTGATGTTCCGCCTCGAGTAGTGCGATCGAGTGGTAAACACGTACGATACATTCGCCT